GAGAGAGAGAGAGAGAATACAGGCGGTTTGGAAAAGTATTAAAAGTAGGGAGATCGTTGTTGCAGAGCGGCCAAGAAAGGGTGAGGTCTCGCTTTACCTCATGGAGAGTAGAGACGGAATGCTCCCTTGTTTGCAAGACAAAGAACTCGAGCCATCGTAGTCGTGCATAAATGCTATCAACACTATCTGCATATTTCACAGTCTAAGAGGTGGAGAATATTTCACTCATGCTCGTTATAAACAAAATGATAGAAAAACTCTTAAAATTTCTTTTCGAAAAATATATCGCAAAAGTAATGCAATAAAAAACGGTACCTTAAGATAAGTTTGCGAGAGCAAACACGTTAAGCTTTTTATTAATTAATTACGTTATTAATTAATTATTTCAAAAGTTTCAAGGTCACATCTAGGAACTTTGACGGTTTGATCGATAGTAGAATCTTCACCATACTTCAAAGTTGATAGAGAGGAAAAGCGATCCAAGAATAGATCGAGGATAGAATCTGTAGAAACAGAGGTAGGCGAGTAGAAACCCTTGAACCCCCCAAGCGCTTGGAGGAGGACGCATGCTTGGCTGATTAGCCTATTGGTAAGTTGTTCGTTGGTCTCTTCTTTTCCTCTTTTTTTTCTCCCTCCATTTCTTTCTTTCGCAGATTCCGTTTTTTCTTTTAGGAATTATGCCGCCCTCTTCACAGTCTCCATTTAGATCACAACGTCATCGTGCCTCTTGACTTGATAAGAAATATTCCTTCAATTAGGAACCAGAATATCGACGCAAATCTTTTAACTCGACTCGACTCGATTCGAGAGTAGTCGTCAAAAATACGCTCGGGATTAGCCTGAGAGAAAAAGAATCGAATATTATCGGTGCTCGATAATAAAGACATTTCCATATTCTACGACTACGCCAGTCTGTATATTCAAAAACTCAAATGATTAATATCAATGATATGCCAATACGAATTGCTTCGCTCACTGCTAATTTATTCATATTATACGTTAGTTATAATTCAGTATTTCGCCTACTAAATCGTTACAACAAAGATTAACGTATAGTAACGTGGTCGCGCAAACGGTTTGCGCAAAGGCCAGACACAAGCTGAACACGCTTGGATCGGATTGCAACAGCCATGTTAATATTTGCGCAGCTCGATACAATAAAATTATATATAAAGCTCTCTCTCGACGGGGGGCGGAGCGTGTCGATTACGCGAGCGGAACGAGAAGTATTCCATCAATTACAATTCGAGAGGAACGTCAATATTTGGCTGGACAATAGCGGATTAACTTCGTGAAAGAATTGTTGATTCAACCGATACGCGTTGGGGATATGGAGACTGTGCGGCGTATCGTTAATAGTTCAAAGTTCATGTTGAAAGCGTGCGTCGACTGAGGTTTTATATTATTAACGACTGTATATTTGCGATCAAGAGATTTTCCAAAATGTGATGATAAACGCAATTGATATATCGCTTAAAAGTGCATAAATCTGTGTTCTTTAATTATTATAGTACCGCTACATCATTTTCAAAAATAATCTTTAGGACAATGATATTTGCCATGATATCGATTTTACAAGTTCTTACTCGGTTAATGAATTAATAATAATAATAATAAAAAGAAAAATAAAATAATTTCAAGATAATTACATTTTCAGATAATATGTAATATGTGGTGTGCAATCAACAGTTCATGGAATGGAGTCACAATTCTCATATGTACACATTTATGATATTTTTAAATGAAGCAAAAACGAGTTATATTTTATCAACAAATATGAGATTTAGGAGCAATTTCTATTCCCCTTCTATTTGAGATGACCTTAATCCAATATTTCATCAAATTCGTGACAAAAATATTAAATTTATTTTTAAAAAAGAACCAAATATGCCAAATATAATATGATTCACCAATTTATCGGCAAAAAAACACATTTTAATATGCTTGCAATTCTACACAAAATATTCTTCTTCTTCACAAAATATTATAATATTATACGAAAATAACGATATATCATGGAAAAATTTTGATTTTCAAATAAATCAAGATGTAACAATTTTCGCAGTCTTTTAGTTGAATAGTTGGATAGAACAGCTTATCATTGAGGATAAACGGGAAAGATTGCTGAAGATCTATCGAAAAAAAGACTTTTAAGAATGTATAATTATTACGAATGACTGATATATAAAGAGAAACAATACTTACCAGCAGCAGCGGCCGCCTTGCCAGCGTCCAATGCGCCGTATGGTGGTATACCCATATGGGCAGGGGGTGGCTGCGTAAGGTGGTCCCCGTTCGGACAGAAGAAAGGTAGCCCGCTTGCTGGATGCGTTCCTGCCAAACCCATCTTGCTTGCCTGCAAATCATTAAAATTCAATAGTTATTACATACTATTTTACTTGATGTCTCGATTTATTAAAGTGTATCGATATTTTGTGATGTGGAATCAATGTTATTTTGTAATATTTTGTACATCAACAAAGAAAAGATTATTTAAGATTGTCGTTGCTACAAAAAATATATAGAAAAATATTAAGAAAAAATATAAATCAAAGATTAATATAAAAGTATAAAAATTAAAATGATATCTAAAATCCATGAGTTCTTAATAATACTTATTAATAAGATGTATACTGATATAATACGATATAAATTTCGATGTTACGAGCGATCATTAATTCTTATCATTATATCGATAGTAGCCGTTATTTATAATATTCGTTTTATTACAAATATCCATATCATATATATTTGCGTAATATAGTGTACACTGTATGTTCGAATATCGTTTATACGAGTGTAACGTCAATGGCGTAAAAAAGTGCAAGGATAACGCCAAGGATTTACAGTTCACGACTCTTGAAAGAAACATGATATCCAATTCGATTCATTCCGAAGGGGAAGCGCTTATCGAGGACCAGCTCGAGCGTTAATTTGCAAAGACCGTGTACGAGGGTTGCGGAGGGAGAAATGTCCTTCTCGAGACACGAGGGTTCGTTCAACCTTTTCATTCGTTCGCCTCGACGCGACGTATCGCGTTGAAATCGAGGACTCTCTTCGAGAATAGTAGCGTAACTCATCCACCACCTTCTTCAACCTTCCTTACCCTCTAGTCGCTCTTTGTCAAATGACAGTCGATGAAATTAGTTTAATTTGCTCGCAAGTTGGAAAAATACGCACGATTCCCGGTTTTCCCCGTGTCTCTCTCTCTCTTTCTCTCTCTCTCTCTTCATTCTTCTTCCTCTTCTGTTTTTCCTCTTGTCGTCGCGCGGACGATCAATATAAAGGTATGAGCAGTTGTGTCTTATCAGCAATAATGCACTTACCATAAGTGCGGCAGTATCGCGCATCGATCTGATTGTCAGTAGGAGTCCTGGATCGAGAGGTTCTCTTTCCATCCAAGTCAACACTCTCGACAGAAGTCCGACAGCCTCTTCAGCGGTGGGTTCGTCCTCGCCATCATCCTCTTCGATACCATCGTTTCCATCCTCGTCGCCATTGCGGTCCGACCATTTATCCGCCTCTACCTCGACTTTCACCCGACAATGTTCTTCATCCGGTTCCCTTTTTTTAACGAGACACGTGAACGCGCTCTCCTCATCGACGATCCATCTACCGAGCTCATCATCGGTGATTTCCAATCCGACCTCCCTAGCGAGACCTTGCAATTCGACGAGCAATATCCTGTCCTCTTCCTGATCTACCGCGTGGATCCTGGGCGGCAACATGGCACCATTACACCCCGTCAGCGAGTGATCCTCACGATCGCGTGGTAACGTCCAACTGCGAGCAAATGTTTCCGATCGAACACTGAGCCAAGCACGATGTAGATCCGCGAATGCCTCCTTTAGCGTAAATCTTTTTAAATACGCATCCAATCGGTGATCGCCTTCTTCCTCGGGCAAACCCAAGATCGAGGGGAATTTATCGCGATAAACGCCACAGCGTGCTCTCGATAGTATACCGGTAGCTAATCGCACTCTCAATTCTCGAACTACCAGACGCGTCTCCATGCAATCTTTGGGAACAATGAACAGTCGTACTAGACCATCCGCGGCGACACAGTCACCCTCCGGTGGTAGATAATCGGCGCTCTCGACTACCAACACGGCGCCATCCGGATGCATCGCCATTGCCGTGACAGCAAATTCACGATGGAACCACCATAGAAAAAGATCGGCAGTTAAGGAACCTCTACCGCCACCGGCGTACACCACCGGTTGGCTCAGCATGTTGACCCTGCGTAGACAACGTGGTCGCCAGTGGCGGCCGGCCACCAACAATCGCGTCCGATGGTGGCCCTCGTGATCCGCCGCTCCCACCACCCACACCCTCTCACTGCTCCGCGTCGCGTCGCCACCGCCATGTCGTTTACCTGGCAGATCCCGCCAATCCAGATAACAAACATGGGCGAGGTAGATTCGACTACGATCATAGTTCTCCAAAGCACTTCTCAGTCTTTCAAGAGCGGACGAGGACGAGGGGTGTGCGGCTCCTGTATGATCGAGATCATGACCGCGCGGCGTCATCGTCGTCCGACATGATGCGGAAGAAGTAGACACGGGGGAAGAGAATGGTGATGAGGACGACACAGTAGTCGAAGAAGAACAAGTCGACACCGACGTCGTCGTCGTCGTCGTCGTCGTCGTCGTCGTCGTCGTCGTCGTCGTCGTCGTCGTCGTCGTCGTCGTCGTCGTTGTCGTCGTCGTTTCCGTTGCTCCATGAATCGAGCTGTTGTTATCCTGTTTTAGTCCCGCGTTCTCTCCCCTCTTTTCAATCCCGTTGTCGCTGTAATCGGAATTGCCTCCTCGCCTGCCTTTGGTCGCTAGCTTGACCGCTAGCGGATCGCTCGTGACCGATGAGGAGGTGGAGGATCGCGCTGGCGACGAAGTGCTCGATGGCGGGGAGCTCGAGCGGCGCGAAGATGCGCAAGAAGACGGTGACGAAAGCGTCGGCGGCGACGATAACGATGTCGACGAGCATGAGGCTCCGGCGATGGTAGTCTCGGTATCTTTTGCCGGTCGATGATGTTTCCTCCCCAAAGTGAGTCTCTCCCGTCGTCGCTGCCTTTCCGGATAACGATGCACCGGGGTACCGTTTTCACGGGCTGGCTCGGAGCTGCTCTCCAGGGATTGGCGCATGCGCCCGGTCCATTGCGATCGACCCTCGTTGCACGCCGCCGTTACCGCGGGCTTGTCCATTCTCGTTGTCACGACTGCCGCCGTTCCGCTTGACGTCATCGCCGTCAACGTCGTCGTTGTCATTGTCACGAGGACGGTCGTCTCTGTCGTTATTACTACCATACCCGTAGTAGCTTCCTCGGCGGTTTCCACGATATCCAGAGAGGCGTGTTGGGCGCGCACTTGGCGCCCCTTAGTGGCTATTTTGCTGACACGCGCGCACTTACCGCTGCGAGGCGGCATCGCACGATCCAAACGCATTCGCGATCGCCTCGAAATCACTCTAATACATATACGTTTCGGCAAGTGTTGAACGGAAACCAATATGTCGTATCGCGCAAATTGAGATCACTCGACGATCGACGCGACAAACGGTGAACGATGAACCTGTGGCTAATCCCGCGCTCTCGCATCGTGCGAGCGCGCGCGCGCGCGCGCAATCCGCTCATCCACGGCGCGCCGACATCGCCTACAACCGAGCGATGACTGAGCGAGCGGCCGCGACGCGACCGTCAAAGGCCGGAGCGGGAACTAGAAGGCTTTGATGTACCGCCGCCCCGGCGCGCACAAAGCGAAAGCGGCCCCGACTCGTTGGCACAGTACGCGGAGGAGGGGAGAGAAGTTGAAGCGAGATAACAGAAACGCGCGGCCGAACGCTAGCGGCGGCCGCGGCGGTGGCGGCGGCGGCGGCGGCGGTGGCGACGGTGGCGGCGGTGGCGACGGCGGCGGACGTGACAGAGGTGGCAGCAGAGGTAGTGGCGGAGGTGACGGTTGCAGTGGCGACGATA